CCACCTCCATCCCCTTCCCCACCTCCATCCCCATCCCCTCCCTTTCCCATATCACCTTCCCCATATCTCCTGCATCCCATCCCATTCCACCCCGCCTCTGTCCCCCTCTGCTCTGGAGAACAAGGAGGACAAGCAGAGGTCCCCAGCCCAGCAGCACCCAGTGGACATGGAGGCATGACCCCCCCAACCCCACCACCACCTGGAGTGGGGGTCCACGCTCACCTCAGCGGGCTGCCCAGCCCCGACCACGATGAGCTTGCCATCCTCCAACCCCACCAAGATATGACTCTTCTCCTTGGTGACAGACACGCTGTGGACAGGCACCCGCATGGGCACAGGAGGCACGGCCGCCCTGAGGCTGTGAGAAGATGAGTGGTGGGATGGGACCTCTCAAGCCCCCTGGGCACCCCAAGGAGGTGGTTGGGGTGGGACAAGGTGGGTGGTAGCCCTCACCTCTGGAGGTCACGGATCTCCAGCCCGCACTGCATGGTCCCCAGCACCACGAACTCCTCCGTCAGGCACATGGCCGTCACCTCCTCCTCCAGCGGGACGGAGGAGAGGTGCTTCCCATTGACCGAGTAGAGGTGCAGCGCAAACCTGTCCTGAAAGACAGAGCAAAGAGGGGGGAACACACACGCTGACGGTGACGAGGGGGAGGACACAGGGACACCTGGCCATACCTTCAAGCAGGCTCGTTGATCTGTGGTGGTTTGGGCTACCACCTGCCCCTCTGGCCCCACGGCCAGGTGGGAGAGGACGGCGACTCGGTGGGCGGCCGCAGGGACCGGATGAAGAGACCCCGGCGGATGGTGTGGATGATGACGGTGCCATCCTATGGGAGAAAGGGGACGTTGGGGTGGTGATGGTGGCACTGCCCACCCTGCCGCCCACTCCACTACCCCAGCTCACCTTGGAGCCTGACACCGCCATGTCCAGCTCGGTGCTGATGGCCACGCACGTCACCTCGGCGTCGTGGCCGTATAGGACCTGGACGGGGTTGGGAG